TGACCAGAGTTACAATTCATTTCTTTGTGGGATTGCGGTACATGCGACAATCATTCATAGCAAACTATCACAAGGAAGATTTCAGTTTTGTGTATTATGTGCAGTGTAGAAGCCATAGTCAGCCTCTTCAGTAGTGCTTCACCCATTTTTAATGCGCTTCCCACGAGAGTTCTATGCTTGCCTACTTTCCAGGTTAGGAAAATAAAAAAGCGGTGGGAAAACACCACAAGAGAAATCTCAGAAATCGCTCAAAAGATTGTGGTAATGAATAAAATCATAGGTTGCAATTTTTTCAATACAGTAGTACACGAGATTGGAATGTAAGGGAAGTGTAAATGTCTATCTCCATCACAGGAAATAGTATTAGGGGCTCAGAAAGCAACAGCGAAAATTTTCAGTGTGAAATGCAAGGATGTGTTCTCGAATTGCGATGTAATAACAAGTCACGGTGAATGCTATGGTGATTTCAGTCAACTTTACTTAAAATTCTGTCCGAAAAGCTGTAAAGTTTGTGAAGGCTGTGACGACAAGGTACTTACTTTTCTTCATTTTTTTTTGATTCGTGGCGATTTGTTAATGCTCAGGCCACTACATATGAACCAGAAACAACTACTACACTACCGTCAGAAGAAAGCACAACTGCGGTAAGTTGAACAGGATAATTTTTATCGTTTGATGACACTCACGTATATCATTCGCTTTCAGGAAAATTCTTTACAATTAGTGGGTAAACGAGTCGTAGGTTAGGTTCCTGTAAGGGCCATTTGAGAACAGCATTCACAGAGTCAGCGACGGGTGAAGTTACACCGGGGGGGGGGGGGGGCAAAGAGTCACTTTGCCCATGGCGCACATCATCAAATTTTTCTTCGCACAGGATGCCGTTGTTGATGAATGTTTTACGGCAGAATATTCCTTAGGTGTCCCCCCATAAGCAGAAGCAGGCCCTCCTTCACTGCCCTCACCGTCTTCAGAATATGACGTCATCTGCCGTCGTCAGGCTCAAGGACGGTCTTTCCGTCATCGCGCGTTCTTTAGCGTCTAACGAGATCACTGCCACGCTATAGCATCCTGGCCGGCCTGGAATGCCTGCCAGACACCACTTTCTTCAGTCGGCTTGAAGTGGTGAGAAAGCTCCAGAGACACTAGCTGCTGGATTATGTCGAGAGCCGCTTTTTGAACCACCTTCAGGGACGTATAATGGGCTATGGTACCTCACGCCTCTGTTGAGCGCGAGACCGGACGCTATGTGTCGTGAAAATCTTCTGGGTGTCGTCGGTGTAGAAAGCTGCCATGTTAACTTTCAATAGACTGGTATGTGCTCTTTAATAGGCAGTTGGGCTCATCTGATTTGCTTTCGTAGTTGTAACTAATTGCGTTTTTAAATGTAAAGGAAAGTGACTCTTTTTTCGCCATGTTTACACAACTGTTGAGCAACAATAAGGTCGGTAGGCGTTTAGTGACCGCAGGCAATGGTGTCTATTGAAAAACCTACCAACAGCAAGTTTTATACAGTTTTCTCCGCCCGCTAATCGCCGCGCATTCACACGACTGAGCTTAGCGAAGCCTATGAAATATAGCATGCAACCAGTACTCCACTTTAACCATCCTCACTAGTTGAATGTGCTCCTCTACACAATCTGCGCTGCTAAAAATTCGCTAAAGTCCATCGAGAATACGCGTGATAACGTCAAGAGCTGACATGGTATATCTCACAACTGTAAACATCCAGCATTCTTCTTGAATTCAGATAATTTAGCGGTGAATAGGATTTGCTGTCAGTCTCAAAATGAAAACGAAATATGCCTATTTACATAAGTGAGGAGCTAATGCTTATCATTTATTTACATTCACCATTATTTAGAACCCCGAAAGGAGCGGTTTAATGAGTTTGGGCTTTCTTGATATTGCATTAGAAATGAAACTTGAATTTTGGCACTGGCGATTTTGGCACTGACGATGCTCATTCATAGTAAATTTAACATAAAAAAAAACTACGATCAGAAGAAGTGCTTTCCACCAATACGTTTGTATATGAAGTGGAGTGTAGGAGCCATTATCAGGCTCTTATGTAGTGTTTCATCCAATTCGAATGAGTCTCTAAAGAGAATCACTATGCTTGCTTTCTTTCTGCGCCATGGAAGTAAGAAAACAGTGCGAAAACACCACATAAGTAAACTTCAGCAAACACTCAAAAAGTTTGCTTAGTATTGACTGGAATAATAGAGTGCAAATCGTTCCAGTACAAATGTACATGAAATTGAAATCGCAAAGTGTAAATGTCTGTTCCATCACAGAAAGCGGTCTCAAGGACTCAGAAAGTAACATAAAACATTTTCAGAATAACTGCGAGGATCGTTTGGAGAATTGCCCCCAATTGGGTGAACAGGGAAAATGTTCCGGTCCTCTCAAGGCTTTCTTCAAAGCAGAGTGTCCAAAAACGTGTGGAATCTGTGGTGACGGTGGCAAAGAGGTACCTAGTTTTTTTTCGGCTCTGCGGTACATGACGGACTGATTAATGCTCAGGCCACTACATCTAGACCGGCAGCTACACCTAAACCACCACCAAAAGAAAATATGCCTGCGGTAAGTCGATCATAACCACTTTTCTTTTTCAATAGCTACTCAGTATACCATTCGTTGTCAAAGAGACTCTTCACAATTAGTCGTAAGAACCGTCCTGTAAGCGAAATCTGGAGGCTCCTCGAAAGGCCTTTTGGGTTTCACAACTGTTGGGTAACCATCTAGTAGGCGCCCGATCTGCATCATCAGCGAAAAGTTAAAACCCGCCTGAGCAACAGCTAACTCCTCAAATTGAGCAGAGCGAAATACTGTTTGGGTGTTACTCAGACGTAGTGTACTGGGTGCATTACTGATTAGTTGTGAAAAGCGAGTAATAGCATCGAAAATCCCCTATGTGGTCAAAAATACCGGTACTGGCGTCTACTCTACTGAATGTATTTACAGGTCGAGATATCGAATCTGATTGGCTGTCACCGGATAAAATGACGTGGGAGTACCGCTACTGAAGAGTTGTCTGATACGATTATCTGCATCTAACGACCTTGCTGATATCTGGGAGTTATTTCATCCAGAAATTCTATCATGTCGGCGGTTGCCATGTCATTCCGGAGAACGCTCAACTTTCAGACTTCGGAGATATCGACTGTAGAAGGAATCAGTAACAGGAATCAGAAACTAGCAGAAGTCTTAGATTGGTGCATGAGTTTTGCGAGATGCGCACTGACTTTAATCAATTATTTCTTTCAAATTCAAGGAGATATTAGTAACAGTGTAATTAAGGCTGTTTTCGAAGCCCCCTACCCCACGCTCTGGAGCTTCGGGAGCTGCAATAGAATAGTGACTATGGACTATACAACGATAAAGTTTGAAGAAGGAGTCGCAAGACTTACGCACCATCGTGATACCCTCATCTAATAGACTCAGTATCTTATAGAGGAGGAAGATGTAAGGCCGTGTATAGTGATTAATCTAGTTAAATGATTATAATTCATTATTAGAGGCGTTGTCGCGGGCGAGGCCACTATACTTCCTTTCTTTTTTCGTCATGAAAATGAAGGTGCCGAAAACGGTAAGAAGATATCACCTGCGAAACCTCTAGAAATGCTCAAAATAGAAGAAAATTAGACAATTATAAATACAATAATATCGTGAAAATGAATATAAAATGTTCAACTTGATCAAGAAGAATATTTCGATTTTCCCACATAGATTCAGAAATTGTAAATGGGTACATAAATGTCTGTCACCATCAAAGAAAGCGGTATTAAGGACTCAGAAAGTAACATCGAATATTTTCAGAGTGAATGCAAGGATCAACTCGAGAACTGCGATAGATTGGCTGCTCAGGGAAAGTGTTACGGAGAACTCAGTGCTTTTTTCATAAAACACTGTCCGTATAGTTGCAACGCTTGTGATGACTGTGACGATAAGGCACCTCTTTTAGCTTGCATCCCTGCGGCAATAGGGTCGTGTGGTAAATTCCCACCTGACTATCATTTTGACGAATACTGTCAAAGAAGTTGTGGGAAGTGTAATAATTGTAAAGATATATTCAGCGAATCATTTTGTGAGCTGGCCTGGAAAAACAATATGTGTAGAAGAGATATACCGCTCTACCGATACTTTTGTAAGAAAACTTGTAGGTTTTGCGGTGTGTGGCTTCAGTTTTATAATGGAACACAGACACTTGATCCATCGGATTATATTCCATATTTGAAGCAATAAACCTTTTTCTTCTCGATATCTTTCTTGAACAATACTTTGCAAGGACGCGAAAATTAGCGGACGACCTACAATTGACAGTTCTGCTTCATTTCATAACATTACAATCTTTGTCTCTTCTTAGGCCTAACTTTGTATAGGACCATCCATTTGGTCTCAAATTTGGAATTGATACTTGAAGAACTCTGAGGGAGAGGCTGTCAGAAGCCAGAGTGTCTCACCATCGGCGCCACAATTTTATTCGCAGTCCGTGTAAATTTCTGGTTCTCTCAACCAAGCGAAGAGGACTTGTGCTCGTGCAGAAATGGAATGGGTGGACAGCATATTCTTGAAACTGAACCACACATAACACTGGTGGCTCGTGCCCAGGAGCCTACATACAGGTTGTGATCAAAAATGGAAGTCCAATACCTAGTGATCCCGAAAAGGATTGATAAACCCGAAGCGAACCATGAGTGAAACAAACAATCCTACTATATATAATCGGCTAAGCGGTTGTGTGTGTGTCTGACCGGAAATTCATAACTTCACCCTTTGACCCAGAGCGCTCAAACTTCTAGGATATATAGGGGGCCGGGCGTGAACACTGATGATGGGTGGCGGGAAGTGATAACTACTGATAGAAGCTGATAACGGACGCCATCGTATTGAACTATATAAATCGCTAAGCGGTTGTGTGTGTGTGTCTGACCGGAAATTCATAACTTCGCTCCCTTTGGACCAAGAGCGCTCAAACTTCTAGGATATGTAGGGGGCCGGGCGTGAACACTGATAGTGGGTGGCGGGAAGTGATAACTACTGATAGAAGCTGATAACGGACGCCGAAATGTTGATGTCACCAATTTCGTTACACCGTTCGCGTTGATGGTGGAGAGTTTGCACTCATATATGATATGTGGGGTGAGGCGGGGACCAAGAAGTTGATTGTAAGAATGGGGTAGCAACTGATAAGAACTGATAAGGGGCGTAAAAGTGTGGATACCACCAGTTTCGTTGCGGCCCTCGCGGTGACATTGAAACCTTGGCTTTCACATGTGGTATAAGGAATGGGACGGGAACAAGGTGGCGAGGATTGAATGTGGGTGACAGAAAGTGGTATGAGCGGCAACTGTACTGATAAAAGTAGCGAAATTGAGCGTGCACTCAGTTAAACTAAACCAGGCCCCTAGCAAGTGAATATGTTCCATTCCTATCCTTTCATCCAAAGAAGCAAAGAAAGTTGAGCTGCTCAACTATCTGGACCTGGACTAATAGCGAATAAAATCATATTTCCAATTTCCATCATAGCTCGGTAGATGCTGATTGATTGCTTATATTTCACTTACACACCGATTATTCAATTGTGGAAATTCTATAAACCGCTAAATCGCCCGAGCTCGATATCAATGCTAAATGTTTACGAAGTCATGATAAGTAATTTTCATTCCGCGTGCTACTGCGCGCATTACGCGACAACCTCCAGCGAAATTGGACAACCTTTGAACTTCATGGGACACATCTTCCAAAACATTTACTGTTAGTTTCTCTGTTACGTGACCTAACATTCTGCAAGTTGTCCAGTTTCACTGAAGCCCGCCATTTGATGCGCGCGGTTGCGTGCGGAGCTAAACTGGTGCGAATAAGTGAATTCGCTCCCAAATCATAGTCAGCTTGAAAAAAAAACGAGCAACAAACATTTTTTATAGAAAAATATACGAAATAGCATATAGAGAAACGTGATCTTTTATATTCATGTCTTACGAAATGTGCTGCTAAAGAATAATGTTGTCAACGATTATTGGCGGATAGTCTTTGGAGGAGGAATGTGGGTGAGTCGAAGCATGTTTGCGATTCAATTCGTTCAGGTGCCAAAGTAAGATTGCAGAAGAAGTTCTCTGAGTTGATGGCTCACGATCGGTGTCAAACCCCTAATGGTCA